ATATTTTTAATTAAAATTAATAAATAAACCACAAAATTTAGAATAAATCCCTATAAAAGTTATCAAGAATCTACTGGAAGTTAATAGAGCGCTGTAAAGTTGCTCCAATTAATATTCAGTATAGTTGTGTGAATTATAATGGAGGATTGTAATAACGAATTATAATTATTAAAAAGATATTTTTTTATTCTAATAATATTAAAAATAATTTTTAAATAATGCGGAAGTGTCATGTTTGTCACTGATGCTGAGAAAAACCTGACATTCGATATAGGACACAAGGATGCTACGGATTTCCTTAGAAAATAAGTCGCTAATAGGCAATGCATGTTTAAGAAACTAGTAAAACAGGCATTCACCAGTAATACAACTTATTTATATAGGTAAATGTATTTTTCTTACCTAAAAAATTACATGTGAACTTCTAAAATATGATTTATTTCGAGAGGATTGTGAATTATACTGCATGACGACCTACACTCAATTCATTCTATTTGTTACTCTGGTAGCATAACGTGTATATCTACCTCACTTTTCAATCTGGATACTGTGTAAATACAAAAAAAGTATATATTCAAAGAACTGGAACTCAAGTCACGTTTTATAAGAAAGATGTCGCAGAAGACGTGGGAGTTTCGTGATTCGCTTTGCCACGTAATGAACGAGATATCTTATGACCTATATACCTTACCGAAGAGTGATACTAACAGGAAACAATAGTAAACTCCGATAGAAAGATAGTTACAAACTTGTGATTTATAATTTCAAAATTGTTTCGTGTCGTCACACGACCTTCAACGATGTCACGGAGTCGTAAATGCAGTTCGACTCGACGTATGAAGGTGGCCACTGAAAATGAAATATAATTCAAAAATAAGAAAAAAATATATTTCAACTCTGGACATTTATGAAATAATAATAATAATAATAAAGAATAAGGGATAACGTGCCTCTGAGCTAAGGTGGAGTATTTTTTTTAACATTCGGGAACCAGGAAATAAATTTCCTTAACCCTTATACCTTATCAAGAGAGGAAGTCCTAAGTGTTTAGTGATGTTTAAGATGATCAATATTTTTTCAATAAAAAAAAAATTAGGCTGAATAACAATTTCGCTCCCAGAACCAGATTTTGCTTTATCGATTCTGCATAATTTCGCTCGAATATATTAAAATGTTAAATAAAAACACTGAACTTATTTTCAAAAAAAAAAAAAAAAATTCTACGCAAACTTAAGTCCTTATGAAGAATGAAGATAGCACCAGATCTCCTTGAACTGGAATATTTTTTATATTACGTACCAAGAATATTTTCAAAGATTTAAATGACCCTCGAAAGTCTGATTAATTACTTAAAGAATTACCTGAAGAGATTCCATTGTATAATGGTTTCTAAACAAAATACAGTAATTTAATGTTACATTGAAAGTATCTCTTGTCATTCACACATCTTTCAGTGTTTAATTAGATACGTAACCTCTTTAAGAAATCTAAAGATTCTCGTAAACTTAAATTAGAAAGTGGTATGACATTCCTAAACGAAAAATATTCAGTAAAAGTAAAGAATATATATATATAAATCAAAATTACTGGTTAANATTTCAAAATTCTTATTAAACTTTAAAGACTATAATAAGTTTGGAATTTGTCATGCAATAGTTTGATTTGAGTAATGAAGTATGACTATGCTATTTTAACAATAGTAAACAAGTATTGCTTAATATAGCATTTTCAAAATAGAATTTCAAATTTTCTTTGAACAATGACTTAATAATAAATTTGACATATTTTAAAAAATTATTTATAAACAATAACTGATTATGTTAAAATCCACACACACAACACACAAGTAGTCATATTTTTGTTTTTAGAGGAAATTAATTTTTTATCTGCTGCAAATCTTTAACAATTTGAGTATTAATCAGAAGCTGTAACAGACACCAAGCTTGAAAAATAATTATTATTGTAAAATATTGCATTACTATATAAATTAGATTAATTTTATATAAATATATATATTTAATTTATATAGAAAAAATACAACAACTATTGCTTCTATATCAATTTCTCCTTTTACAAAATAATCAGAAATATGAAAACACTGGTAGTGCTATCACCTTTTATTTCTAATTCTGATAAGAAATTTTTCACATGTTCCTACCAGTTTTCATAAACTAACAATATAACTTTTTTAAATGGCAGAAGCTTGTTTACATGGTTATCTCAATTGTGACATCCTACACTTTAAACAAAGATTTCTATCATTTGTTCCTAGTTCCTGATTTTTTTTTTGATATAAAACAATGAATCTCATTCAATACTAAACTGTACTGTTTAATAAATCTTGTGCTGTAAATTGTCAAGCCCATTGACAATATTCAATGTAATGTAAAAAATTATAATTACATGGTTCAATTAATTCATTATTTTTTTTGATGAATCAGTACTTACAAATAAAAACTTAGCAATTTAAAGAAATAATTATAGTTAAATAGTATGCAGTTAAAATTTATGTCTGAAAAAATGAAAAATAAAATTAATGTATTTCATGTACAATACATTAATGCAGAAATTTATTAAATGAAAAAACTATTAAACAAAGATAATACAGTATTACATGAACATGTTAATCATTTTTAATACTACCGTATAGAATCAGAACAAAATTTAATAATGATGCTCAAGAATGAAAATAATACAGATAAGATTATAAAAATAAATTTTATAGAATTCAAATATTTATAACATATACTTTTAAAACAAAACTTACTCCGTTTCTTTTTCCATCATTTTCTTCCATTCCCATAATACAAATTTCCAGAACATAAACAATACTCTTAAGCCAGAGACACCCGTGATTCTCCATCGAACTCTCACAGTTCCATCTTCGGGATGTTGAGTTATTTTTAGTATTTCTAATTTTACATGGGAGTAGCGTAGATGGCCCAAAATCCTGACTAATGCCATCTGCTGTACATATCCAGCGATACCACTTTGAGATAAAAAGGTGTTAAATTTTTATTATTATTCTGTAAATAAATCAAACTTAGAAGAAAAATATATATATAAAAGTAGCAAAGTAGGTCATTTCCATAGTTTCTTAAAGAAGAGAGATGATTTTGGACGTGCCAACGGATGTCACGTTATTAAGAAAAACCTGATTTTTAAGTCCTAAATAAAGGTCCGTCTGCAGAATCTCCTTTCACTTGTTAAACTCTGACGACGGGGTCAAAGTTTCGATGAATAATAAAGTCACGAACTGGTCTTTCCAAGGAAATAATCCACTTGTTAAAAAAGATAAAATTTATTAGCAGATGAGGATGAATCAAAAATGTTTTTCCTATTGTAATTGCTCTAACGTAGACGACGTTTACTCCCTTGACCCTAAATATAACATTTTTATCATCATTTTTAAATTCCTGTCAACGTAAATCGACTTTTTTTAATTCTAAAAATTGGCAAAATTTGACAGGTTAATTAAACAAATTATCTTTTCCTTTAAGGATATCCTTGATGTTAATTTTAACTCAAGATAATTTGAAAAAATGCATATTTTTAGTGAAACCCCGAAGTAGCGATTTTAAAGGAAACAATAACTCTTGTAAACGTCCTTGTATCTACTATAATTTAAAGGAAATATCCATAGATTATAGATTTTTATCTGAATAATCCTCGAATTATATCCCCTAGACGGTAGAGAAACTTCTAAAATTGTTTAATATTTAAGCGTATCCGCCTATTAATTCAATGAAAGAGCCTTCTAGAAATTTGACGATTTTGCTGCTTTTTTTTTCACAATAGTAATAAATTAAATACGGAGAGAAAGGTTTTTAAACGTTTTATAATGACGAATGAAATACGTGAAAGAACAATACTACAAAAAAAAAAAAAACAATCAATAAAACAAAATCTTGTAAAACCAGCTATTACGACAGAACTAGTTATAATTCATTTAATTATAAAATTGTTATCGATACTATAAAAAACGGATGTATATATATGTTATCTAATTATCAATTTTAATAAATTTTATCACGTTTAAGTTATAATTTAGTAGGTTTTAAATTGAATTATAGAAGTCAATTAAAAACACTGCTATTTTTTCGTTGTTTTAGTTGGCAACTCTAACTCAAAAATTGAAATATTTGAGTTATGGAGTTACGTTTGCCAACTGAAAACAATAAAATACCGGCATCTAATTAAATTCTTCAATTTATTTTAAATATCACTGATTATTATTTAAATGTTCGTGTTAAAACGTCATAAATATAGCTAAACGTCATATATATATATATATATCTTTATCATAAATATTAAAAATATCAAATTTTTTATGAAGAGTTGGCAATACTAACTCAAAATATTTGAATTTTGAGTTAGGATTGCCAACTGAACTAACGAAATAAAATATTTTTAAAATATTAAAAATTGAAAGTGTGTCGTCCGTTCAATTTTTTTTATTTTATCTTTTTAAAATTTAAATCAGATTATAGTTTTATATTGAGTATTAATCAACATAGTTTTTATCTGATACCCATAGATTGTTTCGGGGGTAATTGGAAACCGTATTCATTCAAAAAAATGCTACCATCTCGACAGAAAACTTAATCATTTTTTTTTTAAATGCCACCAATAAGTAAAAGTATGTCGGGAATTATAGATAAAACGGATAAAGCGTGGTATCTTAAGTTTGCATCAACACAAATCGCGCCGGTATTGTATATGTTTAAAACCATTTATTCTAAACAATAAATTCGACAGATCGATCTCCACCCTCGTTTCACTTGCCACGCCTTCTACTCTAAAATAAGGCCATATATTCTTTTTATAAAGGAGACATTTTTTGAATAGTAAATAAAAATAAAAAAAAAACAAAAACGATTTCTTGCAAGAGTGCTTCTCTTAACGGTAAGTTAAACATTGACTATAGCAAGTTGTCCATTGGTGGTGCTACATATGGTAGAATAACTGGTAAGCTCTGGTTTGAGGCTAGGCTAGGTCATGGCCAGGCTGGTATGTAAGCAAGGTATCCTTCTACCGACTAGCCAGTCTTCGAGGTGTGCTGTGAGCTTATGTGCAGGATGACAGTCTACCTGTTGATCTCTCTCCTTTTAGTGACAGGTGAGTAGTTTATTCCCTTATCTTCGTCAAGCACAGTTACTTACCAAACATCGTGCCGCTTTATTAACTTTTCTAACTTATTATATATAATTTCGAGGCATTGTTTATATTTTATATACAAAATACCCAAAATTATATACGTAACTGAACGTTGCGTCTCGCCCTCCTCTCTTATTCCGGATTGTGCGATTGGTAAAAATGTTATAAACATCTCTAAGAGAAATTGATAGCTTTTTGAGATTTTAATGAATAGGAGTAAAATTTTAAGTGAGCGATTTTTCTACTATGAAAGTTATTTTTCAATGAAATAGCTTAAATTCCTATAGAATCAAAATATCTAGGACTATTTTAGTAAGCAGCGTGCAACAGCAGAGAGGTGGAAGACCGGCCTGATGCCTTAAGCAAATGACCCAGAATGTGTGGTAAAAAGAGAGTAAGTGGCCTGTGGCAATTTTTGGGCTGTTGTCCCTACCTTTACTGGCATTATGTAGGTCATACTAACCGGCTATCGTTATAAATGCACAATTTTTAGTACGTCTGACTTCTGTAATTTGGGAGGTGTATTAAAGGGTTGGGTATGCCTGCGGACCAGAGCCTAACCGAAGGATTCATCGCCTTATCTTTACGCACGCTTCCTTGAGTCAGTGCAAGTTTCTTACAGGAAAAATTCTTTTTAAGTAGATAACGCCTAAATAAATAGAAAGTATAATTTTTTAATCTCTTTTTTCGTCTTGATTGCTACTTTCACACTTCTAAACCACAAACTTCCTGGTATGAGTTGAAGATACCGACTATTTATATCCTCAATTTTATAAATTATGTACTTAAATGGAGTAGATGTGCTTCATTCGATCAACAATTCTTGCATGAAACCTGGCCTTGAACTGTGACACAGATTCAATGATGCACAAGAGCTAGCACGTTACTACACAGGTGTTCTTTTCTATTTACTGATTGATTATCCGCATCCCTTATCAAGGATATTCCACCCTGTTTATCGTCTCTACTTTATCACCGCTTTTTACGGTATTTAAATACAATACGACAAATTCAACTTCCGCATCTCATCTTTTTTTTTGCTTTCCTCTAATTTCAAAACAATGGCTCTAAAATTAAACAAAAATGAAGTCGTGGGTTACTAAATTTATACTTCGGCAGTTTATCTGTGTTAAACTGCAGGCATTGTTTGCATAAAGCTAATTTTATAGTTATTCATGACTTAACGTGATTTAGAAATATACCGCATTAGGATAAAGTTGCTGATCCGTAACTTATAACAACATCTCGAACAATGTCACAGTACATTACGCTTAACGTATTTTGCATAAACACAAAAAAATTCTGTAATATTTATGATTATGTCCACGCTTCCTGCATCATTAAAGTCATGCATCCTTTAACGATACAGGAAATTTGTTTTAATGAAACACGTTCCGCATTAGAATCGATTCGAAACATAGGTTGACACAAATTGCTCGATTTTTCTTTGTTTAACCATATTAATTTTTATGTTATAGCTTATGCCCAACAGCGGGATAACCCTCCTCCTGCTAGAGAAGGACAGCCAGCGCCTGTATCATCGAGAGAAACGTTTCACTGCCCCAAAGCATTTGGCTTCTTTCCACACGACAGGAGTTGCGACAAATATTGGGCATGTGAAAATGCAACAGCAACCATAAAACTGTGTGGGAACGGTTTGGTCTTCGACGATGCCGATTCATCGCGAGAAAACTGCGCGTATCCATTCAGCGTTAACTGCGGTTCTAGAACCGATTTAGGTCAGTAAAAATTTACCCATCTTTTTTTTTCTATTGCAAAAATTAAAAATCGGGAAATTTGTAGATATTTTTATATGACACATCAAAGAATTATTCGGAGCGGTTTAGAAGAAAGACCTAATTCTGTTGTGTATTACAGAACCACCTATAAGTACGCCCCACTGTCCTCGTTTATATGGCATCTTTCCGGATAACAAAAAATGCCAAATTTTCTATTCGTGTTGGAACGGAGAAGCCTCCAAATACGAATGTCCTCCAGGTTTAGCTTATGATTCGGATCAGAGAGTATGCGTTTGGGCCGATCACGTGGAAAGATGCGGAGAACTTGGTAAGGACCGGGGTTCGATTTCTGAAAAGTCAAAAATTCTAACCAAACTAATTCAAATTGTTTTTACTTCCTGTAGAAGTCGCAGAAGGTTTTGTATGCCCAGATCCGTCTGAAATCGATCAGCCGGGACATTACACTCGTCACGCTCATCCTACCGATTGCAGAAAGTTCTACGTGTGTATCGAATCTGTGGCTAGACCCTATGGTTGCAGCGTGGGTACAGTTTTCAATGTTGATACTTTGCAATGCGATGATCCAGAGAACGTTCCGGGATGGTAAGTACTTTTTTAACCTCATTAATCACCTGTGACGACTTGCAACTGACGTGTATCTCCCCAAACAGCGAGAAATATTACGGAGACGTGGATGTTAAAGGACTAAAGAAGTTGGGAAGTTAGAGAGTAGAAATTAATCTGAATAAATGTTACCATCACTCACGCTGCGCAACTAAAAAATCATCATCATTTAAGCAAAAACCATTTTGGAATATTTTTTTTAATCATTTATTCTGTTTTAACGACGGGATTACCCGTTTGAAAAATTATTTTACACATCATCTAACAAATGCGCGAAGTTTTTAAGTTTTTATCCCCCGATCTGAATCTTGCAATTTTATATAGTTCAATAATCTTTTTACAAATATTCTGACCTTAATAGGGCCAGTTATTGCAGGTCGTTGTACCTTAAGAGAGGATAGTCTGGTGTGAGCTGGGAAGCTGATTGCTCCAACTGGGTTACATACAGGCGCACCCTTCACCTAACACCTGTACAGTTAGATATATTTTTTCTATAATAGGTAGAGGGAGATTTTTTTAAATATACTATCCGCAACATAGTGCCATTTTGTGGTGCTCTTTGCTGGCACCTTTCTCTTATAAAAACATTCCAGCTTCTGTCTATCTGTCTCTCTCTCCCCATCTACATTTTCAGAAATTCTGATATGACCGAACAAGGTACGGGGAAAAATTGATAAAACGAGTTGTTGTAAGTTCAATGGAATGTCGTGTAAATAAAAATTACCTTGGAAAGAAAAAGTTTTCTGTTTTTATTTCGCCGTTTCCTGTGGAAAGCAGGAAAATCTCCGTATATCGAGTTACTCTACAGTTTTGAATATCTAAATATAAGATTTTTATCTGGAATAGCATCTATATTCTTAGAAGTTCGTTGATCTTTCGGGTAATCGATTTTATTTATTGCTGTTTCACTTTTTTTTAATGTATTAATGATAAAATCGCGAATTACCTAGTACACACATTTTATAGATTTTACTGTATATCGTAACAACTATTCAGAAACGAATTTGAAAATTTAACAATTTATAATTATTCAAAACATTTTAAACATTATTATTATTAATTCAAATTTATCCAATAAACACCGGAGAATTTTTATAGTGCCATTTATCGATTACTAATTGAAATATCAATTAAAATATGCTACAACTCCAAATCTGTTAAACACACACAAAAATAACTTCAACAGAACAACCTTTTATTAAACTATATTACACTTGATGATCTATGGAATGCTATTTGATTTATAAAGCAAATTGACAAAATCAGAATATTGACAAAAGCAATTCACATTGAACAAAAAAGAAAAAAAAAACTGAATCTGAATGTTAAATGAATGTACAGTACAATGTGCAGTTCACTATGTTTTTTATGAACACACAACAAATTCCAGTAGAATTAGCTCAACATCTATATATATATAATGTATACACTGTTCTAGTATAAACTCCATTTGCTTTTCAAATTCGTAAAAATACCAAAGCTTCTGAAAAAGTTTTTACTGCTCCAGAACTTTTGCTCTTTATAAAGTTACAAGCTCTATATATTTTATTGTCTATTAATTATTATTATTCATAAAATAATTCTTTTTTAAAAAAATTATTAATAAACGTTTCTAATCCAAAATCTATTGGCTTCGGCACCAATCCTAATAAAAGTGCTAGTTTCATGGCTACATTCCCTGATTTGGAACTAACTTTTTCTTCATCTGGCATCATCTGAAATTACATATTTCATAAACCAAAACATTTGACTTTCCATAATGCTAAGTATAATTATATCTAAAAAATAATCATCTATGACATTTACTAAAAAGACAAATGCAACAAAAATAAAAATTGAAATTATTGCACTCTCTTAATACATAAGCTTCAATTGAAAGTAAAAGTATCTAATATTAAAATACAAACCTTATCGCAGACGTGTTTATAAACTAAGCCATCTGGACCAATAAAGAAAACTGAAAAGCCATCAACCCACCTGTAGGACAGATATAATATACACATATTCAATTTTATTAAATTAAAATATTATTATTTCAAAATTCTTATTAAACTTTAAAGACTATAATAAGTTTGGAATTTGTCATGCAATAGTTTGATTTGAGTAATGAAGTATGACTATGCTATTTTAACAATAGTAAACAAGTATTGCTTAATATAGCATTTTCAAAATAGAATTTCAAATTTTCTTTGAACAATGACTTAATAATAAATTTGACATATTTTAAAAAATTATTTATAAACAATAACTGATTATGTTAAAATCCACACACACAACACACAAGTAGTCATATTTTTGTTTTTAGAGGAAATTAATTTTTTATCTGCTGCAAATCTTTAACAATTTGAGTATTAATCAGAAGCTGTAACAGACACCAAGCTTGAAAAATAATTATTATTGTAAAATATTGCATTACTATATAAATTAGATTAATTTTATATAAATATATATATTTAATTTATATAGAAAAAATACAACAACTATTGCTTCTATATCAATTTCTCCTTTTACAAAATAATCAGAAATATGAAAACACTGGTAGTGCTATCACCTTTTATTTCTAATTCTGATAAGAAATTTTTCACATGTTCCTACCAGTTTTCATAAACTAACAATATAACTTTTTTAAATGGCAGAAGCTTGTTTACATGGTTATCTCAATTGTGACATCCTACACTTTAAACAAAGATTTCTATCATTTGTTCCTAGTTCCTGATTTTTTTTTTGATATAAAACAATGAATCTCATTCAATACTAAACTGTACTGTTTAATAAATCTTGTGCTGTAAATTGTCAAGCCCATTGACAATATTCAATGTAATGTAAAAAATTATAATTACATGGTTCAATTAATTCATTATTTTTTTTGATGAATCAGTACTTACAAATAAAAACTTAGCAATTTAAAGAAATAATTATAGTTAAATAGTATGCAGTTAAAATTTATGTCTGAAAAAATGAAAAATAAAATTAATGTATTTCATGTACAATACATTAATGCAGAAATTTATTAAATGAAAAAACTATTAAACAAAGATAATACAGTATTACATGAACATGTTAATCATTTTTAATACTACCGTATAGAATCAGAACAAAATTTAATAATGATGCTCAAGAATGAAAATAATACAGATAAGATTATAAAAATAAATTTTATAGAATTCAAATATTTATAACATATACTTTTAAAACAAAACTTACTCCGTTTCTTTTTCCATCATTTTCTTCCATTCCCATAATACAAATTTCCAGAACATAAACAATACTCTTAAGCCAGAGACACCCGTGATTCTCCATCGAACTCTCACAGTTCCATCTTCGGGATGTTGAGTTATTTTTAGTATTTCTAATTTTACATGGGAGTAGCGTAGATGGCCCAAAATCCTGACTAATGCCATCTGCTGTACATATCCAGCGATACCACTTTGAGATAAAAAGGTGTTAAATTTTTATTATTATTCTGTAAATAAATCAAACTTAGAAGAAAAATATATATATAAATCAAAATTACTGGTTAAAATTTAAAAGAAATACTTTTGATTAATGTTAAGAAAGTAAATTTTTGATACTTACTGCGTAGTTACCCCTCTAATGTTATTTTCGAATATTATATTTTGATTATAAATACTGTAATCCATAACTTCAGTAAAGAGTTTAGGTAGCTGTAATTTAAAGGATAATTTTAAATTAATATCTGATGTAATGTTTTTAGCATATTTTTCAAATACCAAAGTTCTGTTAAAATTTTATATCTGTTTATGTATATAGCAAAAGTATGATATATAATTATCTAAAATTATTGATGTATAATACAACTAATTGATGAAAACTATGTAATTAAACAAAAATCTAACATCAATATGAATATCATTCTGATTCTGATATTAGGCTTTTTTCTATTTAATAACAAAATTATACAGCAGAAATTTAATCATAATAAAATTTAAAATTAAGGTGTGTATTGTTCAGAATTACTAGGATTATATTTTTATTTTATTAGATTACCTTGCCTTTGGTTTAATCCTTGTAATTTTTGTAATCATCCTTATCAAGTTAATATTTAAAATTAAATATTCATTAGATTATCATTATCTATAATTTCTTTTTGTATCAAAATTCATAGTCTCATTCAAAATTTTTTATATTTTTTTTTAATGGATGCTATTCAACACAACAGTTGTATCTTACAACTCACAATACACTACAATCCATTTATTGAGCTGCCAAAATAAGTGAAAATAAAAACAGGAGACAAGAACATGACTAATCAGTAAAGCTAGGACATATTGTCACTAAAATTCATAAATAGTTATAAAAATGATATAACTTATATAATTTTTACAATTATTTATGACTTTTAATACCTAGATATCCTAAGCTCTACAAATCAGCAATTTATTAGCAGTAAATGATGTTTCATATAAGAACTAATAATGGTAAAGAATGAAGATTGACAAATGTAATTACAGTATTGTGCATACCTATTTTTTACATAATCAACTACTTGATTCAGTGAACACATTACAAATCTTTCTATAACAACAATTTTGCAATTTAAAATGTACAAATTGAACAAAAAACATTCCATTTTAATAATAATATAGTATTTCCACTTAACATATTCTTAACATTAAATTTAATAATATATGAAAAATTGACAGTTTCTCTAGTTTAATACTTAAATCATTATAATATGAATAAATTGCAAGTTTATTATCTATTATGAATATTTGGAACCATCAATGACGCAGTATAACTTGTAAATATTCTTGTTTAACTGTAATAGAAGAAATTGATAATGATAATTAATTAGTACAAAAGATACAGTAGACAGTCTAGGGACTTAAAAATGTCTAGTGTTGGGTGTCAGGTAATAGGAAATGACTGCATATTATGTGCTTATTAAATGAAAAGCATTAAATACATTTTTCGTCATTAAAAAAAATTGATAATAATAGTTTTAATGAAAAAAAAGTTTTTTTAGTCTTACATTTAAACAAAATCTATAATTAATTTTTAAATTGTACAATGCAACTTCAATTAAAATTTTGGGATGTGAGGCTATATCAAGAAAAAAAAAATCTGGTTTTTTTTTATTTCATTTCTGATGATCCATACAACAATTAAAAGCCTGCAGCTACTGTGACATGAGCTCTCACGTCATCCAAGCACACTGATTTCAGTGCCATTTAATCTCTAGTTCACTGATGTTGAATTTTTAAAACACTGTGCTGTTGCTGCTTTGCCAATGATTAATGGCTTCTAAAATTTGCCAAAAATGTTTTCATAAAACACATAGTCAAATGTTCTTTTGAATGTTTTCCACCTACACATATCCAACCATTATTCTTGAAACACTTGAAACCAAGATTTTTATAGGAAGAGCTTTCTTTTTAATTTCTTATTTGTATTCACATTCAAAGTTGCAGACAAAGCATCTTGAATTTTTTTAGAATTTCAGCAATTTGAGTTTTTCCCATGTTGAACTGGTGAGCAAATGTCCAACACAGCTTATTTTTTGAAAACTTCAGAATCATCTTTTCTTCAATTTTCAAGTACTTCCTCTTAGACATTACTAAACACATGGAAACTGCAAGAAAGGATATTGCACAAAAAATAAAACAAATGCACATTAGGCAAAAATGATGATTGAACCAATGAAAAAGAAACTAGAAATGCTGTCATATGTACATTAGCATGTATACTACATTAGCAGTACATCAGTTTTTATTTTTATTTTTTTATAGAATACATACTATACAAGCATTACATGGCAGCATTTCCAACTTCTTTGTCGTTGGTTCAATTGTCAACCAATCCAAAATCACTAAGATTTTTTCATTTAACGTCAAAATTATTGAAATTTTATTATGAAAACATTTTTAAAGCAGTTTTTGTACATTAAATCACATTTCTAGGTATTCATGTCCACAATTGAGTGTGTGCGCTTTTGGGAGAGAAAAACTGCATTAGAATCAATGGGTGTGAATCTGTTGTGTTAATAGTTAGTTTGTATAATGATAAATTTAATTCTGAATGACATAAGTCAATTCAGAAGTGTTTTTATAACAAATATTAATGAATTTGTTCAATATAAAAAAAAAATTTCAAAGTCACTATACCTGCTACCTATTTATATGATTTTAATAAAGTAGCATTATTAATAATTAATAGTTACATTAATATCTTCAAACACATGAAATAAATATCACATATGGGTAAATAACACACTAAAGGTTGCTATCATCTGATGTAAGCAATAAAACTATTTCATGCACACAGCAATAATAAGGTTAAATATATTCAACCTTTTTTTATATTTATTTTATGTATGATATATAAATTATGAAAGAATTCAAAGGATTGCTATTTTCTTCACATAACCAGTAGTCAGGTAATAAATTAACTAATATTGATTTATCTACACAGTTAAATATGTATTTTTATTTTTCAAACTGTTCAAAATAATAATTATTATTGTTATTTATAATCAAATCCAACCAGAGATTACATTACAATTAATCAAAATATTATAAACTAGTGATAAATAAAATGATAAAGAAGAATGCAACTAAACTTTAGTATGACTAAGCCAATAACATTTTAATTTTTTGTGGGCTTCAAATTTATTTGGATAGACTTTGAATTTAAATATTAGAATTCTTATTTTATATGTTACATATTTATAAACAAAATATTGTTTATCTCCATGCAGTTATATATAATTTATATTTATGTTAATATAATTCCGATGAAATAATTATTACATTTACATAAAAACACAGTTTAAAGCAGGATCAAAACATATTTTGGATCATTATAATTGCTACAGATAAACCTGAGATTAATTATAAATTTTTTATTCAAACATTTAGATCATTAGATAAGCAAAATAGTATATATAAATCAAACTTTATTTTCCTGACATTAATAATTTTTGCATTTACTAAGATAATTGCAATGTTTTATAATGATAATTTTTCTTTGAGATGAATTATCATTTTAAAGTGAGGAATAATATTTGATTAATAAAATAAATCTGGCTGTCAGCTATTTGTACCCAAGTTGAATGGACTAAAAGCAAGTTAGCAAGTTCTTGTATAAAACTGGATCTCTTATTTGACATTGTCAGGTTTATTGCCAAGATGTAACACCAAAATATTATAAATTGCATATTAATTATACAAAAAACTCTCATTTGCTAACTGGTTTTCTTAGCTGCTCATCTTGAATATAAATAGATGATGTAAAAGATACTTTTACATCATCATATACCCCATCTTTAGATAAATTATAATAAGAAACCTGAGTTATTTATTTACTCATTTCTCAATATAGGATATAACTAAGTGCAATCAATATGATTCCAGAATAAGTAAGAAATTTTTGTTATATTTGCAATAATTAATTCATAAGTTATTATTTAATGAATTAAATGAATTTTATAACAAATATAAAAATATATAAATTTATTAATTTTATAATTTGCAAAAAATATAATTTTATATATTTGGCATTTTTACAAATTATAAAGTTCTATAAAATTATTTTTTTAATCTATTTATGAACTGATTTGATTTTGATGAGAAATTTGAAGTTTTGATATATTAAATATGTATATATGTGTACATTTGTGAACACTGGCATAAACCTATCAACTTGGCCACCTGGGAAAGCAACCTGCCAGGAATTTTTCATGGATGGTCAGTTGGGAATGTTAGGCTTTGTCCCACACCATATGGATTCCTCTACTGCAGCCTTTGCTAAACTCATAATGGATATGAAAAAGAAGGTCCTCTTATCCTCTTACTGCACACAGGGCAAGGCAGGGCAGAGAGAGAGAGAGAGAGAGAGACAGAGAGAGAGAATAACAGTTTGAGATTGCATTATCTTTCTAATTATGTTGTGTAACTTCATTCCACGAAAAACCTTTTTTTACGAGTGTTATGTCACTATTAGATTCCACAAGTACTTTCGACCTCCACCGAGGTCTGCTTCAGGTGGTGACTGGCCGTGTTTCGACCCAACCGTCGTGACAATGTTGCCAACGATGTAAATAAATAAATGTGAGCGTTGGGTTTCACCCCTCCGACCGCCACTGTTCGAATTCCTCGAACAAGTACTTCCACGCCTGTGCAAGCATTTACCCATCCTTGTAGTTGATGCAGTTGCCCCCCCCGATAACTTTATGAATCTCCCAGGCCTCCAGGTGGCGGATGTGATCCGCATGGAATGCTTGTCTGATAAGTCTGGTGTTGCGGAAGTCTGCCCTTATTTCAGGATCGGTGACGTAGGTTGATAAGGCGGTGGTGTATCTTTTATGATTAATATCAGCTTGGTGTTCACGTATTCATTTCTGTGTTGACCGGATGGTGGAGCCAATATAAACTAAGTCCCTATTGAATCTGTCGTCCCTGATGGGAATGGAGTAAACACATGGGGCTCTGGTGAGATCCATCGCGTCCTTGGTGTCCTCACCAGGTGTTTACTCCATTCCCATCAGGGACGACAGATTCAATAGGGACTTAGTTTATATTGGCTCCACCATCCGGTCAACACAGAAATGAATACGTGAACACCAAGCTGATATTAATCATAAAAGACACACCACCGCCTTATCGACCTACGTCACCGATCCTGAAATAAGGGCGGACTTACGCAACACCAGACTTATNATTAAAATCTGCTACAACTCCAAATCTGTTAAACACACACAAAAATAACTTCAACAGAACAACCTTTTATTAAACTATATTACACTTGATGATCTATGGAATGCTATTTGATTTATAAAGCAAATTGACAAAATCAGAATATTGACAAAAGCAATTCACATTGAACAAAAAAGAAAAAAAAAACTGAATCTGAATGTTAAATGAATGTACAGTACAATGTGCAGTTCACTATGTTTTTTTATGAACACACAACAAATTCCAGTAGAATTAGCTCAACATCTATATATATATAATGTATACACTGTTCTAGTATAAACTCCATTTGCTTTTCAAATTCGTAAAAATACCAAAGCTTCTGAAAAAGTTTTTACTGCTCCAGAACTTTTGCTCTTTATAAAGTTACAAGCTCTATATATTTTATTGTCTATTAATTATTATTATTCATAAAATAATTCTTTTTTAAAAAAATTATTAATAAACGTTTCTAATCCAAAATCTATTGGCTTCGGCACCAATCCTAATAAAAGTGCTAGTTTCATGGCTACATTCCCTGATTTGGAACTAACTTTTTCTTCATCTGGCATCATCTGAAATTACATATTTCATAAACCAAAACATTTGACTTTCCATAATGCTAAGTATAATTATATCTAAAAAATAATCATCTATGACATTTACTAAAAAGACAAATGCAACAAAAATAAAAATTGAAATTATTGCACTCTCTTAATACATAAGCTTCAATTGAAAGTAAAAGTATCTAATATTAAAATACAAACCTTATCGCAGACGTGTTTATAAACTAAGCCATCTGGACCAATAAAGAAAACTGAAAAGCCATCAACCCACCTGTAGGACAGATATAATATACACATATTCAATTTTATTAAATTAAAATATTATTATTTCAAAATTCTTATTAAACTTTAAAGACTATAATAAGTTTGGAATTTGTCATGCAATAGTTTTCTTTGATTTGAGTAATGAAGTATGACTATGCTATTTTAACAATAGTAAACAAGTATTGCTTAATATAGCATTTTCAAAATAGAATTTCAAATTTTCTTTGAACAATGACTTAATAATAAATTTGACATATTTTAAAAAATTATTTATAAACAATAACTGATTATGTTAAAATCCACACACACAACACACAAGTAGTCATATTTTTGTTTTTAGAGGAAATTAATTTTTTATCTGCTGCAAATCTTTAACAATTTGAGTATTAATCAGAAGCTGTAACAGACACCAAGCTTGAAAAATAATTATTATTGTAAAATATTGCATTACTATATAAATTAGATTAATTTTATATAAATATATATATTTAATTTATATAGAAAAAATACAACAACTATTGCTTCTATATCAATTTCTCCTTTTACAAAATAATCAGAAATATGAAAACACTGGTAGTGCTATCACCTTTTATTTCTAATTCTGATAAGAAATTTTTCACATGTTCCTACCAGTTTTCATAAACTAACAATATAACTTTTTTAAATGGCAGAAGCTTGTTTACATGGTTATCTCAATTGTGACATCCTACACTTTAAACAAAGATTTCTATCATTTGTTCCTAGTTCCTGATTTTTTTTTTGATATAAAACAATGAATCTCATTCAATACTAAACTGTACTGTTTAATAAATCTTGTGCTGTAAATTGTCAAGCCCATTGACAATATTCAATGTAATGTAAAAAATTATAATTACATGGTTCAATTAATTCATTATTTTTTTTGATGAATCAGTACTTACAAATAAAAACTTAGCAATTTAAAGAAATAATTATAGTTAAATAGTATGCAGTTAAAATTTATGTCTGAAAAAATGAAAAATAAAATTAATGTATTTCATGTACAATACATTAATGCAGAAATTTATTAAATGAAAAAACTATTAAACAAAGATAATACAGTATTACATGAACATGTTAATCATTTTTAATACTACCGTATAGAATCAGAACAAAATTTAATAATGATGCTCAAGAATGAAAATAATACAGATAAGATTATAAAAATAAATTTTATAGAATTCAAATATTTATAACATATACTTTTAAAACAAAACTTACTCCGTTTCTTTTTCCATCATTTTCTTCCATTCCCATAATACAAATTTCCAGAACATAAACAATACTCTTAAGCCAGAGACACCCGTGATTCTCCATCGAACTCTCACAGTTCCATCTTCGGGATGTTGAGTTATTTTTAGTATTTCTAATTTTACATGGGAGTAGCGTAGATGGCCCAAAATCCTGACTAATGCCATCTGCTGTACATATCCAGCGATACCACTTTGAGATAAAAAGGTGTTAAATTTTTATTATTATTCTGTAAATAAATCAAACTTAGAAGAAAAATATATATATAAATCAAAATTACTGGTTAAAATTTAAAAGAAATACTTTTGATTAATGTTAAGAAAGTAAATTTTTGATACTTACTGCGTAGTTACCCCTCTAATGTTATTTTCGAATATTATATTTTGATTATAAATACTGTAATCCATAACTTCAGTAAAGAGTTTAGGTAGCTGTAATTTAAAGGATAATTTTAAATTAATATCTGATGTAATGTTTTTAGCATATTTTTCAAATACCAAAGTTCTGTTAAAATTTTATATCTGTTTATGTATATAGCAAAAGTATGATATATAATTATCTAAAATTATTGATGTATAATACAACTAATTGATGAAAACTATGTAATTAAACAAAAATCTAACATCAATATGAATATCATTCTGATTCTGATATTAGGCTTTTTTCTATTTAATAACAAAATTATACAGCAGAAATTTAATCATAATAAAATTTAAAATTAAGGTGTGTATTGTTCAGAATTACTAGGATTATATTTTTATTTTATTAGATTACCTTGCCTTTGGTTTAATCCTTGTAATTTTTGTAATCATCCTTATCAAGTTAATATTTAAAATTAAATATTCATTAGATTATCATTATCTATAATTTCTTTTTGTATCAAAATTCATAGTCTCATTCAAAATTTTTTATATTTTTTTTTAATGGATGCTATTCAACACAACAGTTGTATCTTACAACTCACAATACACTACAATCCATTTATTGAGCTGCCAAAATAAGTGAAAATAAAAACAGGAGACAAGAACATGACTAATCAGTAAAGCTAGGACATATTGTCACTAAAATTCATAAATAGTTATAAAAATGATATAACTTATATAATTTTTACAATTATTTATGACTTTTAATACCTAGATATCCTAAGCTCTACAAATCAGCAATTTATTAGCAGTAAATGATGTTTCATATAAGAACTAATAATGGTAAAGAATGAAGATTGACAAATGTAATTACAGTATTGTGCATACCTATTTTTTACATAATCAACTACTTGATTCAGTGAACACATTACAAATCTTTCTATAACAACAACTTTGCAATTTAAAATGTACAAATTGAACAAAAAACATTCCATTTTAATAATAATATAGTATTTCCACTTAACATATTCTTAACATTAAATTTAATAATATATGAAAAATTGACAGTTTCTCTAGTTTAATACTTAAATCATTATAATATGAATAAATTGCAAGTTTATTATCTATTATGAATATTTGGAACCATCAATGACGCAGTATAACTTGTAAATATTCTTGTTTAACTGTAATAGAAGAAATTGATAATGATAATTAATTAGTACAAAAGATACAGTAGACAGTCTAGGGACTTAAAAATGTCTAGTGTTGGGTGTCAGGTAATAGGAAATGACTGCATATTATGTGCTTATTAAATGAAAAGCATTAAATACATTTTTCGTCATTAAAAAAAATTGATGATAATAGTTTTAATGAAAAAAAAGTTTTTTTAGTCTTACATTTAAACAAAATCTATAATTAATTTTTAAATTGTACAATGCAACTTCAATTAAAATTTTGGGATGTGAGGCTATATCAAGAAAAAAAAAATCTGGTTTTTTTTATTTCATTTCTGATGATCCATACAACAATTAAAAGCCTGCAGTTACTGTGACATGAGCTCTCATGTCATTCATGCACACTGATTTCAGTGCCATTTAATCTCTAGTTCACTGATGTTGAATTTTTAAAACACTGTGCTGTTGCTGCTTTGCCAATGATTAATGGCTTCTAAAATTTGCCAAAAATGTTTTCATAAAACACATAGTTCTTTTGAATGTTTTCCACCTACACATATCCAACCATTATTCTTGAAACACTTGAAACCGAGATTTTTATAGGAAGAGCTTTCTTTTTAATTTCTTATTTGTATTCACATTCAAAGTTGCAGACAAAGCATCTTGAATTTTTTTAGAATTTCAGCAATTTGAGTTTTTCCCATGTTGAACTGGTGAGCAAATGTCCAACACAGCTTATTTTTTGAAAACTTCAGAATCATCTTTTCTTCAATTTTCAAGTACTTCCTCTTAGACATTACTAAACACATGGAAACTGCAAGAAAGGATATTGCACAAAAAATAAAACAAATGCACATTAGGCAAAAATGATGATTGAACCAATGAAAAAGAAACTAGAAATGCTGTCATATGTACATTAGCATGTATACTACATTAGCAGTACATCAGTTTTTATTTTTATTTTTTTATAGAATACATACTATACAAGCATTACATGGCAGCATTTCCAACTTCTTTGTCGTTGGTTCAATTGTCAACCAATCCAAAATCACTAAGATTTTTTCATTTAACGTCAAAATTATTGAAATTTTATTATGAAAACATTTTTAAAGCAGTTTTTGTACATTAAATCACATTTCTAGGTATTCATGTCCACAATTGAGTGTGTGCGCTTTTGGGAGAGAAAAACTGCATTAGAATCAATGGGTGTGAATCTGTTGTGTTAATAGTTAGTTTGTATAATGATAAATTTAATTCTGAATGACATAAGTCAATTCAGAAGTGTTTTTATAACAAATATTAATGAATTTGTTCAATATAAAAAAAAAATTTCAAAGTCACTATACCTGCTACCTATTTATATGATTTTAATAAAGTAGCATTATTAATAATTAATAGTTACATTAATATCTTCAAACACATGAAATAAATATCACATATGGGTAAATAACACACTAAAGGTTGCTATCATCTGATGTAAGCAATAAAACTATTTCATGCACACAGCAATAATAAGGTTAAATATATTCAACCTTTTTTTATATTTATTTTATGTATGATATATAAATTATGAAAGAATTCAAAGGATTGCTATTTTCTTCACATAACCAGTAGTCAGGTAATAAATTAACTAATATTGATTTATCTACACAGTTAAATATGTATTTTTATTTTTCAAACTGTTCAAAATAATAATTATTATTGTTATTTATAATCAAATCCAACCAGAGATTACATTACAATTAATCAAAATATTATAAACTAGTGATAAATAAAATGATAAAGAAGAATGCAACTAAACTTTAGTATGACTAAGCCAATAACATTTTAATTTTTTGTGGGCTTCAAATTTATTTGGATAGACTTTGAATTTAAATATTAGAATTCTTATTTTATATGTTACATATTTATAAACAAAATATTGTTTATCTCCATGCAGTTATATATAATTTATATTTATGTTAATATAATTCCGATGAAATAATTATTACATTTACATAAAAACACAGTTTAAAGCAGGATCAAAACATATTTTGGATCATTATAATTGCTACAGATAAACCTGAGATTAATTATAAATTTTTTATTCAAACATTTAGATCATTAGATAAGCAAAATAGTATATATAAATCAAACTTTATTTTCCTGACATTAATAATTTTTGCATTTACTAAGATAATTGCAATGTTTTATAATGATAATTTTTCTTTGAGATGAATTATCATTTTAAAGTGAGGAATAATATTTGATTAATAAAATAAATCTGGCTGTCAGCTATTTGTACCCAAGTTGAATGGACTAAAAGCAAGTTAGCAAGTTCTTGTATAAAACTGGATCTCTTATTTGACATTGTCAGGTTTATTGCCAAGATGTAACACCAAAATATTATAAATTGCATATTAATTATACAAAAAACTCTCATTTGCTAACTGGTTTTCTTAGCTGCTCATCTTGAATATAAATAGATGATGTAAAAGATACTTTTACATCATCATATACCCCATCTTTAGATAAATTATAATAAGAAACCTGAGTTATTTATTTACTCATTTCTCAATATAGGATATAACTAAGTGCAATCAATATGATTCCAGAATAAGTAAGAAATTTTTGTTATATTTGCAATAATTAATTCATAAGTTATTATTTAATGAATTAAATGAATTTTATAACAAATATAAAAATATATAAATTTATTAATTTTATAATTTGCAAAAAATATAATTTTATATATTTGGCATTTTTACAAATTATAAAGTTCTATAAAATTATTTTTTTAATCTATTTATGAACTGATTTGATTTTGATGAGAAATTTGAAGTTTTGATATATTAAATATGTATATATGTGTACATTTGTGAACACTGGCATAAACCTATCAACTTGGCCACCTGGGAAAGCAACCTGCCAGGAATTTTTCATGGATGGTCAGTTGGGAATGTTAGGCTTTGTCCCACACCATATGGATTCCTCTACTGCAGCCTTTGCTAAACTCATAATGGATATGAAAAAGAAGGTCCTCTTATCCTCTTACTGCACACAGGGCAAGGCAGGGCAGAGAGAGAGAGAGAGAGAGAGAGAGAGAGAATAACAGTTTGAGATTGCATTATCTTTCTAATTATGTTGTGTAACTTCATTCCACGAAAAACCTTTTTTTACGAGTGTTATGTCACTATTAGATTCCACAAGTACTTTCGACCTCCACCGAGGTCTGCTTCAGGTGGTGACTGGCCGTGTTTCGACCCAACCGTCGTGACAATGTTGCCAACGATGTAAATAAATAAATGTGAGCGTCGGGTTTCACCCCTCCGACCAACACTGTTCGAATTCCTCAAACAAGTACGTCCACGCCTGTGCAAGCATTTCCCCATCCTTGTAGTTAATGCAGTTGCCCCCCTGATAGCTTTATGAATCTCCCAGGCCTCCAGGTGGCGGATGTGATCCGCACGGAATGCTTGTCTGATAAGTCTGGTGTTGCGTAAGTCCGCCCTTATTTCAGGATCGGTGACGTAGGTCGATAAGGCGGTGGTGTGTCTTTTATGATTAATATCAGCTTGGTGTTCACGTATTCATTTCTGTGTTGACCGGATGGTGGAGCCAATATAAACTAAGTCCCTATTGAATCTGTCGTCCCTGATGGGAATGGAGTAAACACCTGGTGAGGACACCAAGGACGCGATGGATCTCACCAGAGCCCCATGTGTTTACTCCATTCCCATCAGGGACGACAGATTCAATAGGGACTTAGTTTATATTGGCTCCACCATCCGGTCAACACAGAAATGAATACGTGAACACCAAGCTGATATTAATCATAAAAGACACACCACCGCCTTATCGACCTACGTCACCGATCCTGAAATAAGGGCGGACTTACGCAACACCAGACTTATC